TCGCGGTAATTCAGCTTAATTGTCTGTTAATTAACTGCGTGAAATCAATTAATACTTCATTGAGCTCGTTACGAAGTTGTTAATCCGTAGAAGTTGTTCGGACTGCATTCTATATACTTAGCGAAGGGTACGTATCGTGGCTTGTGCTAATCGAACCTCATCGATAACCAGAATCTTAAGTAAACTAAACCATCGTCAACTAACGAACAAACGGTTTTAGCTTAAAGAATTTCTACAAAAATATTTACAATTGTTGTTAGAATTAAGAGTACTCTACGTTAGAAACTGGTAAGTCATTTTCTGTTTTTCCTTTTTACGCGAGAAAAGTCTGATAGAAAGTAGTTCATTCCCCGACTTGAAAATACGTCTACAGGCATAACGTAGCATTTGTTCGAAATATGTTTAGCCATTTTCGAACTGCGGCGAACATTTGGACAAACGGGGGAATAAAAGTTCTGAAAACATATTTTTCGGGTTTTTGGTATTATCGAACAGATCGAAAAATATCGAAAATTCGCTGGGAAAACAATATTACAACACGCACCAGCGTTTGTAGATTTATTTATACGGTCCAGAAGTTTAATTTTCGTTGCACGCAAGAATTAAAACTGTTGTGTTGCTGGTTATTGTAAAAATATTTGCTCTGCGAATATAAAGATAAACCCGACGGGTAGTCTGGAACATTATTCACATGTTTGTTGTTTTTACATAAATAAACATCGAAAATCTACAAACACCATAAAAAAAGCGCACACCCAAAACGCATGGCGAACTTTGATTTCCCCTTGGGCCTATTAATTACACTGTTTCAGAAATAATTCTGATTTATCCAAAGATAATTGGTAACCGAATTCCCCATCGAACTTTTAATCGACGTACCCCGAAAAAAAGAAAAACCGTCGATTCGAAATTCTGTTAGCCTGTACACCGGCATAATTAGCGAATAGCACGCCCGTCAGCGTTTTCTACGCCGATGATTCGCTGACTTTCCCGTTCGTCGAAATTAACGATAAAGGCAACTCATCGTTCCCGCGAAGTCTGCTTAAATATTTGAAGAAGTGCTTGGATGAAATTCTTCCCATCGTGGAACGCTCGAATCAAAGGGGGGGAGGGTAGATCGAGAGACTCCGTCCCTTTTCTCCTTCGTCCTTCTCCCCTCCTCCCTCATCAGTCGGTTTTTCCTGTCGTTTACTCGTCAATACTCCGACGCAGGATATCTCTCTGTCCCGTAATGGATAATTTCCCCCTGCCTCGAAACTTTGTACGCTTAAAAAGCCCTGTCCGATATGGCAGTTGGCATCGCCGATTGCCTCAATCAGAAATCAATAGGCACCGTCTAGCAACGACCAATACGCAACCGGTGCACGTGTCAATGTATTTTACGTCTGTTGATTGTCGTGTCTGTGCCCTGGATGTTGCACCGCTTCCACAATCACGGTTTGACGACCTTTCGAGCGTTTACGCGTATCTTAAGCGTGTCGGATGAACGACTCGTCGGACGATCGTTCATCCTGCCAAGTACCATAATTCGTTTCGAGACTCCGCGATACGTTGCCGACGAAGTACCTCCATTTATGGTCCGAGACCCGACAGTTAAAATAAATTTTTAATCAGTATCCTCTAAAGTCGACGTTGACGTCTATGTCGATCTTACGATCTTCTTCGCGAAGCGGTTAGCCTAAATTTATTTTACTAAATGCAAAACCTCGACGAATAAATTTCAGTTCCTGTCGTTTCTCCACTCGCAATATAGACTCAATCCCAAGATTTCGAACAAATGGAAGTCGACTCGAACCCAAAAGTCGCCCAAAAGACAGGAGCAGGAACTTCGGGATGAGCTTCCCTAAAAATAAAACGATCCACTCCCGAAACTTCGCGAGTACTCGTATTCGAGGGATCGTAAATCGTTGCAATTTTCGAATGGTCGACCACCGTGGACATCGATAAACCAAAAAATGAGAATCACTGAGCTCTTCGGTACGGAGTGTTGGCACAGTGCTCGTGATCGATTACTCGTCATCCGCGCGCGATGTCCCGAGTTCGACGCCCACCGCCCGCTGCCAAACCAAACGTACTTCTTCCTCTTTTTTCCACCCACCCCCCTCGTTCCACGGTCTACCCTCCCCTCGCCCGTGACCGTCCTCTTTTTCACCCGTTCCGTTTCCCTGTTCCTCTTTTTCCGCGCTGCATCGACCGTAGGCTCTACACGTAGATGGCCGTTGCACGATGGACGTGTACGAGACGCTCTTCCTCTTTCGCCGTGTGTCTGGCTTTGTGCGAGGTGCGAGGCGCCTCGACTACCCACAGCGAATGGGGAGGGGGGAACAAAAAAAAGGTAGACTTCCACGGCCCGCGGAGTCGATCTCTGCCAAATCAAACTTAAATCCCCCCCACCCTGGGTACCCCTAGTCGCGGGCTTCTTCGTTCTTTCCGGTTATCGATTTTCAGCGACGAGTGGTCACCCCGTCAACGACGTCATTCTTCCGGTTCGTTCCTCCTTTTTAAAGTCTTCGCGGACCGGTCGATTCGATCAAAGACGGTGGGTCCATCGGTGTCTGGAAGTTTGAGATTCAGAAGTCTTCATTAACCCCTTGCGATACAATTTAATTTCAAATAATTTTTCCTACATTATATCAATTTGTGAAGGTTTCAAGCCTGTATTAATTTTCGTAGTAATATACTTCGGTTTACGGTCATAAAATAAAAAAACAAGTGGTAGGGATCAATGTATGGTCAGACGGAATTTGTAAATTCCTTCTCTCGTGCTTCTAATTTATTTTTGTTGCTACTTTATATCAATCTGTAAAGTTTTTACCTCTGTATTAATTTTCATAGTAATATATTTCTGTTTACAGTCGTAAAATAGAAAAACAAGTGATAGGGATCATCCTTTGGTCAGACGGAATTCGTAATCCGTAAATGGAAATCAACTTTCCTTTAAATAATAATGAACTAGTGGAGGATTACATTTACATATATTGTACAATATTAGTTTAAACTTGTGGAGGATCCAATAATCCACTTCAGGGTTAAACGTATACTATTTAATTTTGTTTAAATTTGCTCGTAGAAGGAATAGAATAGATTTGTTTTACGAATACCTCGTGAATATAAAAATGAGTCAATTTTAACATATAAGACTTGATAACGAATAGCCTCATGATCGTGAAACTTGACATCAAGAACTTGTAACGAGTCAGGCTAGTTATCGTATGACAAGGGATTAAACTTCTGTATGTTTCGATTTTGTTTAATTTTCAGTTATTCTAAATTCGTTCAAAGAATGTTACCGAATGAATTGGCCCTTAAGGGGCAGTAAATAGGACTTTTCTACAATGAGATTCTACGATTATCTCGCCAGATCATTAGATAATCAATGGTGTTAAAAGAAAATAATGGCTGGATTCTACGGCGATGCTTCTTCATTTAAAACGAACGGAAGAGTTGGTCGGAACGACACGCGATAAACGTTTAAATGAAGAAACATCGCCGTAGAACCTAGTCGATATTTTACTTCAGGGACGAATTATTCTGTTCGTTCCGAACAGAAGTTTTACTCGAAATCGATCGTATTTATCACTCTTGCGACGATCCTGTCGCGTTCTATTTGAAAATCAAACGGTTCGATTAGTTCGAAGATAAAATAAATCGATTTCTATTTTATATTTAAAAGCCTCGAAAGCGTTACCCCATAACAAAAGGGTGTAGTGAAATATAAAAAACCGTAAAGATCGTGGGAGTTTGGATTAAACTTTCCACTTACTTCAACACTGCGCGACGAAACTTTAAATTCGTTTTTAAAGCGACATTTTTCAACCTGCTTGACAACTAATTGACCGATTCCATCGGAACTCGACACGTATAGAAAGTAAACGTCCCTCGAATTTCCAGACAAAATCAACTTTATCTATTTCATAAATGAAGAACACAGTTTTAAGCCAACGCGTCTACGAATTTCCTCGAAAGGAAGCTTGAAATACCAGGGAATGTTTGGGGTCTCCGAACTAGCCAGACCACGTAGCTCGACGAAGAACGAGCCATTCAACCCCTCCCCCCCAAAAAAAGAAACAATTTTCCGCCTCCTCGTAATCAATGTTTCAATAAACCAATCAACGAGCTACACAGCACGGATGCCCTCCCCTCCCTCCCCCTTTTACGACGTCATCGATGTTATCGTCGTCGCCGGTGCTCCACGTGAAACAGAATCCAAATTACTCTTCGTTCAAGCCTCGGGAAAAAGATCGCAGATTGCCGAGTCCATTGTCTTAAGGAGGCCCCATATAATAAGAACGTTATCTATCCATTAATCTGCACAGAGCTCGACCCCTGAACATGTCCCCCAGGATACACAAACCCCTTTCTGTCCCTCGTGTCGGCTATTATCGAGGTGAAACGGGAACGGCGGAGCTGGGTCACACAGGGATGCGTCTGGAAGCGGGAATAAGGGTGTCCTGGACACAAGTCACACCTCGATTGCTGCCAATTCTCTATTGTCGTTGGCAGCCGTCCATTTTTCGCTTTTACCTGGCTCCTTCGTTCGCCGTACCGCTACCCAACGAGGGATGAAGAATTCATTTGCCGTCGGGACGTCGAATTTTCGAGACGACGACGGTTCGAGAGGGTTCTGGGGCACCTTTGATTGCCGGGGGAAAGGGCCAAGGGAGGGTCTTATGATTTTATGATAACGATTAAGCCACTTTTGCCAATGCCTTCGATTGATTTTTCGCGCTGGAGAACACCCGGGGCTGTTATTCGAAATTAATTGAATATTCTTGGAACGTCTTTTCACACGAAATTCTTCCGATAGAGTATTTTACTGATGCTTGAAACTTCGAGAAATTTATAAAATTGATTTTTTTCTGCAATAAAACACCCTTCGTGTCGACGTTTTAGGAGCTCCTGAATCACTAATGTTGCCCGTTACGTCGACTGATTTTTCATATATCTTTAAATCCATTTTGTCGCGCTCGATGATAAATTTAACAAAAGCCAGAACTCACCAGTCAGAAGGAACAGCAGCACGGTCGAATTCATTCCCGAAGCCAAAATTCGTCGAAACGGAATCAATTCAGCGCATTCTCGGCACATACCTGGAACAAAGAACGGGTTGGTATCAGATAAAAGCCCGGAAACATCTGAACAGAGGACGCATAGAGAGTAAAGATCAATTTTTCACGGTCAGAAACACGATTTCACGGTCCATGTATCGCATAATTAACGAGGAAATTGTGCAACGACGTTAATTTCAATTATGAACGTCATTCAATGCACAAATTAAATATTGGAAATTGTACGTCACCGAGTGTTATTAAACGACAATGAACTACTTTCGCTGCTTCAAACGCGAATAATTGTTGTATACATCGAATAATTTACAACGTTCCATTCATCCGATCGTTCTACCGGATTCGTTAAAAATGAAGTCGTTGGGTAATTTAATAGGATACTCTCGCTGGTAACGCGAGTATTCGACAGGGAAATCGTACATTGAACGGAATTTGTTGATCGATAATTAATCAAAGTATTGTTCCAGAAGATCGAATATTTTTTAAAATAAATAAATTTCTATAGAAACTTGCAAGAAACGTCAGGAACAAAATTTTTAGGAATTTATCGAGTCATCGAAGTGCACGATCGATCGACGTTGACACGGTAAATTTGTTGCACAGGCGTCGAACGCGAAAATGGCAACGGAAGTCGAATGGTTGACGGCCAATACGAGCAGCCATTGTTTTAGAAGCGAATAAGTGTCCCATAGACCGGTTCGTATAACTCATGCGCCGGCGTTAATTCAATAAATTCAAGCGAATAGCCCGGGACCGTAATGCTTATTACGGCGGCGCGTTTAACAGATTTTACGGGGTGTGTTAACAGCCACGGCGTGTACGTGGTCCCGAGAATCGGGGCAAATTAGCATGGTGCCTCTACATCTGTTGACCATTAATCAATTAGCGCGACTCCGCGCGCACGGGGCCATCGTGTAACGACTGTTAGGGCAATAGAACATCCCCTACCTCCCCCTTCATCCGTAAAATTTTGGTCGAGCGCCCCTATTAAATGTTTACGATCAAAAACCGCTGACCAACCAGCGGCAAGACTGTGTTTCATAACGCATCAGTCGAATGGGCGTGAAACGGATACGGGCGGAACTCTCTGCTCTGGATAAAAATTTTAAATAATGGATCGAACGAAGAACATTGTTGGTCTAATGTTGGATTAGAAATAAAATTTTAAGTCTCTTTAAGTTATTCAAATTTTCAAAAGTCACTTTCAAACTGTATTGTTAGAGATTTAATTCTGTTCTAAAGGATCAGCAGAAAATATTCAGAATCAATCTAAAGGAGATGATATTATACTTCTACCAGTATTCAAAAACGCAAGTAGAAATAGGAAAGATTGGTCGGACAGAAACATATCGAATCCTATGGCACAGGTACTTGGAAAAATTTCAAAATTTCAAAATTAATTTAATCGAAAACGAAGTCCAGCATACTAAAATTTTCGCTACGACCTCCGACGCCATTACCACACTTTTCGAGGCACTCTGTAGAAAATAAATTGCTGGAAAAGAAAATACAAAAACGAGAATGGAAGCAGGGGATGAATTTATACCTTCTAACTAATGAGCGAGAGAAAATTTGCCCAATTGCAGCGGAGAAATTTAAATAAGATCAAAAAGAGGTGGAACAAATGCTTGAGAAATAGGCAGAGGTTAAGTAACAAAAATAAAAAATTCAGACATTAATTCTTGGTTAGTGGAAGAATGGGTATCGTTAAGACTAATATTATTCAATTTGCATTTGTTGGGTTTGCATACGCGAGTCGGCATAAAGTATCGAATCTTTGCTCGACGAAGTACTTCGTGAATTACTGAGAGAGTTCAACTTGTCTGGACAGAAGTGGCATGCATGCGTGAATATTTAAACGAACCCTCTGGATGATTCGCGAGAACGGATTGCGTGTTTCAATCGCTCCTTTGTGGAAAATATCAAAGTATAATTCCATACGGTTGATCGAGCATCGGGGAATTTTTGAATTTTCTATCGGTTATGAAAGAGATCTCTGGGGGAGAACCTTGAATATTCATTATAAAATTCAGTTTGAGCACCGAACGAATTTATAACGAACAACGATTAACCGCTGGGAATCTTGCAATCGTTCGTTTCTTGGGAAAACGAGTTCGATTATAACTTTATGCATACGCGGAATTAAATGCAAAATACATATGTAAACTACGCGCGATGCAACGAATTTTTTCATACATCTAAATGCCTTTAAAGGTATTCTACGTTTATCGATCGTTGGAGAAGTTTATTCCAAAGTGGATACGCAGAATGAAACCGGAAGCGACGTATTGGTCCCGGTGATCGAATTGAAACGTATTAGTCTCGGCGTAGGTACACGTATAAACCGGTCGATGAGCAATAAGATTGATGGTTCCGCGGCCAAGATATTCATTTATTTCTGAAGAGTGACGCGCTATTTTTCAGACCGTTCTTCGACGACTCGCGGATACATTTATCTTAATCTTTCACGCTGCCCGAAAACGTGAGAAAATATATATTAATGTAATAAAACGAGGAAAAGGGGAACGAAACCGAGGAATAAAAATCCAATAGTCGATCCTCCCCTATCGGACTCGAGACCCTTTCTCTCGTTTAACCATACGTTTTATCGCATCTAATATGGTTACGAATTAAACTGAACGTCAAGAATAGATGCACCAACGTCGCAAAGCCACCATTTCCCACCCGGAAGTTTCTATCTCCAGAAATTTAAAAACTACATTAATTTTTTGATCAAACCTCGCGAACTCCAGGAAGTCCAACAAAAGTTTTTCCACTCGACGTTGGGAGTTTGAGGTTCCAGAAAACCTTTCCACCCCTTTGTCTCGGAGGCTCCTGTTCCCCCTCGTACCGCACATATTTCCTTCGCCATTTTTGTTTGTATCTCGCGACGATCGCGGACCGGAAACGGACGTCCGCGCCGTGAAGAATGAACGTCGTCGCGCATCCGGTCTCTAGCACAACCGCCGGCCAACGAAATGTGTTTTTGGTGGGCCTTCGCGTCTCGCCACTTATTTACCAACCCTTCGAGCCCCTGAGACCGTTCCTTAACGCGACCGAAAGTTCAGTTTAATTAAATGACAAATATAGCAAAAACGATTTAATAATTCGCGTCAATCGTTAAATCCGGTTCAAATAAATTATTAAATTCTGCTGCCTGTTTTACTCCAAAGTCCAATAAGACATTTATTTTCAACGCTGTTTTTATGTTTTTCCATTTAATTTGTCGCCCCCGATAATCTATTGCTTCTCATACAGGACGTACCACTTTAATTAAACCGTACACAGGCGAACGCTTGCGTAACAAAACGATTTATTAATTCACTCGAATCGTTAAATCTAGTCGAAGAGAATTATTAAATTTCGTAGTCGAATAAGAAACGGATTTATTTTTAATCCCGTTGGAACGTTGCCCTCCATTTGTCTTTTGTTCAACGCCGTGACTTTTCTTTCGCGCGAAGTCTCGCGTTTAATGAAACGATAGCACGTGATTTCACTCACGATCGTAACGCGGTACGCGCTAAAAAGCGAGGAAAGTTCCGACAGCCACGGAAACCTTTCATACTTATTCTCCGAGAGCGACTTACCGCGCTCGATGACAAATACCGCGCTCTCCCAGGCCGATCGTATTTTTTCCCGCTTTATGGCGTTTGTACGAGGATTTACTGTTAAGGTCCTGTCGCGTCCTGGCGCGGAACAAGAAGTCACCCTCGAAACGATGATTTATGGGGCTGACCAGGCGACGCGCGAATTTCCACTCTTAGGGAAATCGGTTTACGATCGGGAAACGCGATTATAATGTATCGGTTCGAAGTAAAAAGTCCAACTTTCCATCCGAAGAAAGCAGACTGCCTGAAAACTCATCGAAACGACGCGAAACCGGAACTTGGGCCATCAATTTTCTGTCCACGAGTGACAAATCTACGCTCGACTTCGAGGTGCCTCTCAAAAACGCCACAATATTTTCTTAAAATTTAATTTAAAACAAAAAGAAGACTTCTATACATTGCTCCGAGAGAACTCTCTAACAAAATTTCTAATAATTACAAGGCAACTCAGTGAAACAATGATGAAAATTCTACTCAACGAAGCAATGGTGAAAATTTAAAGTACGGTGATGATAATTGTTTTTAGTAACCATGTAGCCATGGGAAGCGTTTGTCGGGAGAATTTTTTCAGCGATTCGAAAATGCGTTTCATCACGGGGCAACAGTTGCATCGATGATGGGGGTGTGGGAAGTAGAATTGTCAAAGGTCTCGACGAGAACATTACGCACGAGGCATCAAGCATTCCGCATCGCATGAACGCATTATTCGCTGAAAAACGGGAAACGCGCGACACGGTGAGTAACCATAGACCGCGGTGAACAGATTTCGTTCGATCACGCGGCGGGAAAAGGTTTTCCAGCCTTGCCCCCGACGCTGTCACTTTGCCGCGAACCGTTTGATGCTTTTACTCGCATCATGGCCGACTCGACTGCTCTCAAAGCTTTTTGCGGAAGTCGCTGTGAAAGAAGTCACGACGACCTGTTCGTCGTGCGTCGGGAATCATATCATCATTCCGTCGGTTTTTTGCGGATAGCGACTCAAGAGGCTGCTAGGCTTCGCGTCTCCACCCCCTCCCCCCAAGCGATGCACAAACATAACTGACGAATGGCTATACGTTCGTTACTCTTCCCTTTCGACGATAGGCAACGCCAAGGATAAAACATCGAGTCTTTTCTCTGTTATTTGGTATCTCTGGGTGAAAAACTAGCCTGGACGCTCGACATTGGCGTAGGCTGGGTCAATCGAATATTGTAGTCTTTTTTAGGGTGGAATTGTTAATGATATTAGCTATGAGATGGAGTGAATATTCAGTTCTCCCATGTTTACACATTCTTATTTAGAAATTTTGAGTTTGGATACTCGACAAAGACTATCGTAGTCATTTTGAAATTATTTCCAAAGAATGCTACCAGAATGTTTGGATTAAATTTCCAACTATGCACCACGATTAAGAA